GTATACCATGTACTGAAAACTCTGTAAATAAAAAATGCTATGAAACTTCTGAATGATAAACCAGCTACCTACGTGGCCTTGGTTTCCCTAAAAGGATTGACTATAGTGGCCATATTTGGGTCATGAAAGGGCCTTTTCTCCCTTTTCCTTTTCTCTCATTCAGCTAATCCTCCTGACTTCTGATTGTCCCACTTTACTGTTTCTCTATGATTGAGCAGGTTAACTGCCCTCTTAACAACTCTCGACAGCCTGTTAGTTTTAACAGTGACTGCCTTCTCCTGGAATCCTAGCAATTGGAAACACTCTTGGGAGGCCGGGCATGGTGGCTCACACCTGTAATCCCAGCACTTTGGGAGGCCTGGGTGTGTGGATTGCCTGAGGTCAGGAGTTCGAGACCAGTCTGGCCAACATGGTGACACCCCGTCTCTACTAAAAATACAAAAAAATTACCAGGTGTGGTGGTGTGCACCTGTAATCCCAGCTACTTGGGATGCTGAGGCAGGGGAATTGCTTGAACCAGGGAGGTGGAGGTTGCAGTGAGCCGAGATCACACCACTGCACTCCAGCCTGGGCAACAGAGTGAGACTCTGTCTCAAAGAAGAAAAAAAAAAAAAAAGAAACACTCTTGGCAGTTGTATTCTTTATTCTTCCATCTACTGCCTATCTCCCTTTTAAGAGTAATGATATTGGACACTTATTAAGCACTTCTCCATGCCAAGCACCATGCTGAATGCTTTATTCACACAATAAAGGTGAATAAATGCATAGAGAAGTCACTCAGGGCTGGGCACGGTAGCTTACACCTGTAATCCCAACAATTTGAGAGGCCAAGGCGGAAGGATCGCTAGAGGCCAGGAGTTTGAGACCAGCCTGGGCAACATAGTAAGATCCCCATCTCTCAATAAATAAAATATAAAAAGAGAAGTCAGGGTTACATGGCTAATAAGGGGTAGATAAGGAATTCAGGACCCAAACTCCAAACCATTTCTGCTTTGTCCACCTCTGTAATGTCCCTTCCGAATGGTTGCTTAGCTCCTGTTGTATTCCATCGCTTGGCTGCCCATTTATTTTAGATAGATGTAGTTATTAGGAAATTCATGTTGAACCAAAATCTATTACCAGGAACAAATGAGCCTTAGATTTGCTTGAAATACCCCACCAACATGGTTACTTTCCTCTAGGCATGTTACAATTTACTCATGTCCCAGTGCGAAGGTGGCACTTTGAACTGGGCAGAATATTCCGTTCGTGGTCATACCAGCAATGCTGGACTGTTACTTCCTACACATCACAGAATTAGCTCTTCTTGTAGCTATAACACACTTCTAACTCACATAGAGCAAATAGATCAGTTTTTTTAACACTTGCAACTGCTATTAACATTCATCTTTTTTATGTTTTTACAGTTGGCTTTGGCTTTTTGTAGTCACATACTCTGCCACTGAGCTATACCCTCTGTCTTTGGCTTTTTGAACCAGAGGGTAAAATGATTTGTCATTCACGACTGTCCTATAACTGTGACATTACACATTGCTGGGTTTTATAAGTAAGAACAAAGGAAGACCTCTTTTTTTCTTTTTATTATTATTATTTCTTTTGAGACAGGGTCTCGCTCTGTTGCCCAGGCTGGAGTGTAGTGGCGTGATCAGGGCTTACTGCAGCCTCACTCTCAAGGCCCTCCTGGCCTCAAGTGATCCTCCTACCTCAGCCTCCTAAGTAGCTGAGACCACAGGAGTGAACCACCACACCCGACTAATTTTTGTATTTTTTTGTAGATAAGGGGTTTCATCATGTTGCCTAGGCTGGTCTCAAACTCTTGGGCTCAAGTGATCATCTTTCCTCGGCCTCGCAAAGTGATGGGATAATAGGCATGAACTACCATGTCCAGCCAGACTACTGTCAATTGTATGGTCTGGGAAGGCTTCACCAAGGAAGTGTCAGTTTAGCTGTGAGGAATGATGGAGTGGGGGTGGAGAAGGGCTTTCCAGGTAGAAGGAAATATGAGTAAAGGCTTTGAGGCATGAATGTGTTGGCTGGGCGCACTGGCTCACACCTGTAATCCTAGCATTTTGGGAGGCCCTGGCACACAGATCAGTTGAGGTTAGGAATTCAAAACCAGCCTAGCCAACATGGTGAAACCCTGTTGCTACTAAAAATACAAAAAAATTATCTGGGAATGGTGGCGGGCACCTGTAATCCCAGCTACTTGGGAGGCTGAGGCAGGAGAATCACTTGAACCTGGGAGGTGGAGATTGCAGTGAGCCAAGATCTCACCGCTGCAATCCAACCTGGGCAACAGAGCTAGAGTTCATCTTAAAAAAAAAAGAAAGTGGGCCAGGCGCGGTGGCTCACGCCTGTAATCCCAACACTTTGGGAGATCGAAGTGGGCAGATCACGAGGTCAGGAGTTCAAGACCAGCCTGACCAACATGGTGAAACCCTGTCGCTACTAAAAATAAAAAAAATTAGCCAGATGTGGTGGCAGGCACCTGTAGTCCCAGCTACTCAGGAGGCTGAGGCAGGAGAATGGTGTGAACCCGGGAGGTGGAGCTTGCAGTAAGCTTAGATTGCGCCACTGCACTCCAGCCTGGGCGACAGGGCACGACTCCATCTCAAAAAAAAAAAAAAAAAAAAAAAAAGAAAGTGTTTAGTGTGCTCAGGGGCCTACATGGAGGCAAGTGTGTGTAGCCAAGGTATAGTGAATGAGGGGGAAAGCTGCACAGGATGACACTTGGAAGGCTGAAACACTAGAGGCATTCCCATTACATGAATAAGCAGTGACAAACTTACAAGCATTTTAAAGGAAAAGTTCAGGGAATACTAATGTCATGATGATGCTGGCTGTTGTGTATTGCCCGCTTTCTGTGTGCTAAGCACATTTAAAGTGATTCACACGACTTATCTCCATCCTGAGGAGAATGACGAGAATGACACCGTTGTTATCCCCATTTTAATAGATGAAGAAACTGAGGCACAGAGATGTTTAGAAATTGAGATGATGCTAGTAGTGGTAGATTAAAGATTTTCGCCAGGCACAGTGGCTCACGCCTGTAATCCCAGCACTTTGGGAGGCCGAGGCGGGCAGATCACCTGACCAACATGGAGAAACCCTATCTCTACTAAAAATACAAAATTAGCCGGGCGTGGTGGCGTATGCCTGTAATCCCAGCTACTTGGGAGACTGAGGCAGGAGATTCGCTTGAACCCAGGAGGTGGAAGTTGCAGTGAGCTGAGATTGCGCCATTGCACTCCGGCCTGGGAGACAAGAGCGAAATTCTGTCTTAAAAAAAAAAAAAAAAAAAGATTTTCACCCAGGCAGCCCAACTTCAGAGTCCTTCACCTCTATCCTGGGCACCTAATAGAGGGTCCTGAACTAGTCAGAGAGTTTGGGAAAGCTTTGGTGGCTGGAGGACCTCTAAGATAAGCAGCACCCCTCTTCTAATGCTCTTATATAATACAGAGAGACATCCTTACTGGGCCAGGCCTGATTCTTCAGGGCCTAACTCTGCAACCCTGAGTAAAGGAGAGCGGGCAGCAGACAGCCAGAATTGGCCAGTTCAGTTCATTGTTAAAACTGTCAACCACGATGTGGCTGCTTTAAAGATAACAAATACGGAGCTGTGTGTGGTGGCGTGCCCCTGTGGTCTTAGCTACTCAGGAGGCTGAGGCAGGAGGATCACTTGAGCCCAGGAGTTCAAGTCCAGCCTAGGCAACATAGTGAGACCCCATCTCTAAAAATAAAAATGCCTAGGCTAGGCACAGTGGCTCATGCCTGTAGTCCCAGCACTTTGGGAGGCCGAGGCAGGCAGATCACTTGAGGTCAGGAGTTCGTGACCAGCCTGGCAACATGGTGAAACCCCATCTCTATTAAAAATACAAAAATTAGCTGGGCATGGTGGGGGGCACTTGTAGTCCCAGCTACTGAGGAGGCTGAGACAGGAGAATCACTTGAACCTGAGTGGTGGAGGTTGCAGTGAGCAGAGATGGTGCCACTGCAATCTAGCCTGGGTGACAGGGCAAGACTCCGTCTCCAAAAAACATTAAAAAATAGAAATACATTTTAAAACCCAGATACCTGCCAGGCGCGGTGGCTCAAGCCTGTAATCCCAGCACTTTGGGAGGCCGAGACGGGCGGATCACGAGGTCAGGAGATCGAGACCATCCTGGCTAACATGGTGAAACCCTGTCTCTACTAAAAAATACAAAAAAAAACTAGCCGGGCGAGGTGGCGGGCGCCTGTAGTCCCAGCTACTCGGGAGGCTGAGGCAGGAGAATGGCGTGAACCTGGGAGGCAGAGCTTGCAGTGAGCCGAGATCCGGCCACTGCACTCCAGCCTGGGCGACAGAGCAAGACTCCGTCTCAAAAAAAAAAAAAAAAAAGACTCCGTCTCAAAAAAAAAAAAAAAAAAAAAAAAGGCCGGGCGCGGGGGCTCAAGCCTGTAATCCCAGCACTTTGGGAGGCCGAGACGGGTGGATCACGAGGTCAGGAGATCGAGACCATCCTGGCTAACACGGTGAAACCCCGGTCTCTACTAAAAATACAAAACTAGCCAGGCAAGGTGGCTGCGCCTGTAGTCCCAGCTACTCGGGAGGCTGAGGCAGGAGAATGGCGTGGAACCCGGGAGGCAGGAACTTGCAGTGAGCCGAGATCCGGTCACTGCACTCCAGCCCGGGCGACAGAGCAAGACTCCGTCTCAAAAAAAAAAAAAAAAACCCAGATACCTGTAGCATATATAAGGGACAATTGCAGTTTGGAAGGTACTTCCACATGTATTACATCATTTGATTTTTAAAAATTACTCTCATGTGGTTGTCATAAAATCTGTTAAGATAGATAAGGCAGGGATTATTAGCCTCGCTTTGCAGATGAGGAAACAGGCTTAGAGAGGTACCAAGGTCACCCAGCTAGTGAGTAGTAGAAAGACTTTGTTTTTCCAATCCAGTTCTCCTGCCTTCCCTCCTCACCCATTTGGTTCTTATGGTGTTTCTTTCATGTGGCCAGGAGAAGGAGCGCTCCTGGCACCAGCAGGAGCTGGCGAAGGCTCTGGAGAGCTTAGAGAGGGAAAAAATGGAGCTTGAAGTGAGGCTAAAGGAGCAGCAGACAGAAATGGAGGCCATCCAGGCCCAGAGGGAAGAAGAACGAACCCAGGCAGAGAGTGCCCTATGCCAGGTGAGAAGCTAGGAGGATTGAAGCTGCCCGTCCAATGAGCGATCTCCTTATCTTTGACCACTTTCTTTTCCACTCCCAAGAGTAGTGCTGCAGAGGGGCTTCCAGAAGAGAGCGTACCTACCCACTCTGCTACCAGTGAGCAGGGTGGTCCACACCATTAGCCACAGTTCCGGCAGTATGTCATACTTCCTGAGGGAGGGCTGACATGTACCACATCCTGTCAGCTTGCAAACCAGTGGTAATCTTTGCACTTCCTTGTTCTGAACCCATGGGTTGAGACCCTCCTTTGTCCTCAGCCCCTTCTCATCTGCTAGAAGAGCCCTAGAGCAGCTGGGATGTGCTCGTGGCCTCATTGGTGAGCATGGTAACCCTGAGCCCACAAGCCCTTACTCTCCTACCCCTCTACAGATGCAGCTGGAAACAGAGAAAGAGAGAGTATCCCTCCTGGAGACACTGCTGCAGACCCAGAAGGAGCTAGCAGATGCCAGCCAACAACTGGAACGGCTGAGGCAGGACATGAAAGTCCAGAAGTTAAAGGAGCAGGTATGGAGGGTGGACTTGTGAGTAGGGGAGAAAGGGGCACTCATTTACCCATTCAACCACGAAGAGTTCTTGGGCACTTCTTATGTGCCAGGCCCTGTGCTAAGTGCTGACACATGACAAGTACGTAAAGGTATGGCACAGGCCGGGTAGGGTAGATCACGCCTGTAATCCCAGCACTTTGGCAGTCCAAGGCGGGTGGATCACCTAAGGTCTGGACACCAGCCTGGGCAACATGGTGAAACCCATCTCTACTGAAAATACAAAAATTAGCCGGGTATGGTGGCAGGCACCTGTAATCCCAGCACATTGGGAGGCCAAGGCGGGCAGATCAATTAAGGTTGGGAGTTCGAGACCAGCCTGGCCAACCTGGTGAAACCTCATCTCTACAAAAATACAAAAATTAGCTGGGCGTGGTGGCGTTTACCTATAATCCCAGCTGCTTGGGAGGCTGAGGCAGGAGAATCGCTCAAACCCAGGAGGCGGAGGTTGCAGTGAGCCAAGGTCACACCACTGCACTCCAGCCTGGGTGACAGTGCAAGACTCAAAAAAAAAAAAGGTGTGGCACAGCAGTCAGTATGACAGACATTGCCCCTGCCCTCAGGGAACTTACATTCCTGTGGCAGAGATGGATGACAAATGAGCAGACACAAAGCAAATGAGATTATTACAGTTTATAATAAGCGCTGTAAAGGAAATAGAGTGATACAACTGAGAGTGATTGAAAGGAGGTCAGTTTGCACTTAGTGGTCAAGGAAGGCCTCACTGAGAAAGTAACATCTGAGCTGAGACTTGAAGGTTAAAAACAAACCAGCTCTGGATGGGCGCAGTGGCTCACACCTGTAATCCCAGCACTTTGGGAGGCCGAGGCAGGCGGATCCTGAAGTCAGGAGATCGAGACCATCCTGGCTAACACAGTGAAACCCCGTCTCTACTAAAAATAAAAAAAAATTAGCCGGGCGTGTTGGCGGGCCCCTGTAGTCCCAGCTACTCTGGAGGCTGAGGCAGGAGAATGGTGTGAACCTGGGAGGTGGAGATTGCAGTGAGCCGAGAGCGCGCCACTGCACTCCAGCCTGGGCGACAGAGCAAGACTCAAAAAAAAAAAAAAGAAACCAGCTCCGTGATACGACATAGGTGAACCTTGAAAATATCAGATTAAGTGGAAGAGCCCATCACAAGAGGCCATATATTATATATGATATGATTCCATTTATATGAAACACCAAGAACAGGCAACTCTATAGAGGCAGAAAGCAGATTTACGGTGGGGAGTGGGGTGGGGAATGGGGAGTGTCAGTGAATGGGCACGGGGTTTATTTTGGGATTGATGGAAATGTTCTAAGCTTGATTGCAGTGATAGTTGTACAACTCTGAATATCCTAAAACCCACTACATTGTATACGTTAAATGAATGAATTGTATGGTATATGAATTATATCTCAAGCCATGTAAAAGAAATGTCTGGCATGGGAAGAACACTTTAGGCAGAGGAAACACCTGTCACAAGGGCCCTGTGACACAGAAGAGGGGTTGGGAAGTTCAAGGACAAAAAGGAGGCAGTGTGGCTCCAGCTTGATAAACTCAGGGGCAAATGGAGTGGTAGCCAGAAGTCCTTTGTCAACCATTGTAGGAGCTTGGATTTTGTTCTAAGGGCAGTGGGAAACTGTTGGGTGGTATGTATGTATGTATGTATTTATGTATTTGGGACTGAGTCTCACTCTGTCACCCAGGCTAGAGTGCAGTGGCACCATCTCAGCTCACTACAACCTTCGCCTCCCGGGTTCAAGCAATTCTTGTGCCTCAGCCTCCCAAGTAGCTGGGATTACAGGTGCCCGCCACCACGCCTGGCTAATTTTTGTATTTTTAGTGGAGAAAGGGTTTCACCATGTTGGCCAGGCTGGTCTCAAACTCCTGACCTCAAGTGATCCACCCACCTCAGTTTCCCAAAGTGTTGGGATTACAGGTGTGAGCCACCGCGCCTGGCCAGTTGGGTGGTATTTAAAAAGCAGGGGTGGGATATGATTTATTTGTATATACATATACACATGCATATACATACCTGTGTATGTATTTTTAAATACTTTAGCTGCTGAGTAGAGAATAGTGTGTGTGTGTGTTTTTAGGGGATCATGGCATCAAGTGGAAGTAGGGATACAGTTAGGAGACTGTTGCCATGGTCTGAGTGAGAGACTATTACCAACTCGTGGACCCTGACCAAGAAACCTGGGTGAGCCAATGCACTCTGTGAGGGAGGAGAGGGACTAGGAAGTGAGACGGTGAGGTGGAAACAATGTGGATTGCTGGCTCCTGCCTCAGCTTTTGCCACCCCACTAAAAAAAAAACAGTATTTATACAACAGGGATTTCCTTTACTCACTGATGTCTTATCCCTCTTCAGGAGACCACTGGAATGCTACAGACCCAGCTCCAGGAGGCTCAGCGGGAGCTGAAGGAGGCAACCCAGCAGCACAGAGATGACCTTGCTGCCCTCCAAGAAGAGAGCAGCTCCCTGCTACAGGATAAGATGGACCTGCAGAAGCAGGTCCCCTCCTCCTCCCCACCCAGTCCCATGGTCCTTCCCCAACACAGCCAGGCCTTCCCACTTCCTCCTGCAGGACAGGGAGAACCTTGGCCCTGCTGCCTGGTTTGGGAGGGTAAATGGGTGGGCCACAGTACTGAGTGGAAAATTAGAGGGTGCTCAGAGTTGAGTGTGTGCCTCTCAGAGCCCTGGGAGAGTGAATTCTTTCTCTGTAATGGTCGCAGAGCTTGTATTTTCCCCGGCTGTCTCAATTTCAATTGTTCTTTCCATCCTTGCCATAAATCTAATATTTTTACATACTAGGTTGCTTCTCAGAATCCTATATCAAATGATGTTCTGACTTTTCTTTTTTTTTTTTTTTTGAGACAGAGTCTCGCTCTGTCGCCCAGGCTGGAGTGCAGTGGCCGGATCTCAGCTCACTGCAAGCTCCGCCTCCTGGGTTTACGCCATTCTCCTGCCTCGGCCTCCCAAGTAGCTGGGACTACAGGCGCCCGCCACCTCGCCCGGCTAGTTTTTTGTATTTTTTTTAGTAGAGACGGGGTTTCACCATGTTAGCCAGGATGGTCTCGATCTCCTGACCTCGTGATCCACCCGTCTCGGCCTCCCAAAGTGCTGGGATTACAGGCTTGAGCCACTGCACCCAGCCTGACTTTTCATTTTTAAAAAAGCAATCACAATTCATGTTTTGCCTTTGGGAGTAGTTATAGTCAGCCTTTTTTTCCTTCTTTTTGGTGGGGGAGACAGGGTCTCACTATGTCGCCCAGGCTGAAGTGCAGATCATAGCTCACTGCAGTCTTGACTTCCAAAGCTCAAGCAATTCTCCCACCTCAGCACCCTGAGTAGCTGAGACTACAGATGCGTGCCATCACACCTGGCTAATTTTTAAATTTTTATAGAGACAGGGTCTTACTATGTTGCCCAGGCTGATCTCAAACTCCTGGTCTCAAGTAGTCTGCCTGCCTTGGCCTCCCAAAGTGTTGAGAATACAGGTGTGATTCACTGCACCTAGCCCAGCAAAGATTTTTATTTGTGCCTGCCTCTATGCAGCATATGTGAGGCTGGGAGGCAGATGACCAAGCCGAATTGTATTGAGGAAGGGGGTGGTTAAGAAGAGTGTGTAGGGATTGGTGGAACTGCCAGAGCATTGGAAATGGCCACTGACTATGGTAAACCTCAAAGGACCCTGAAGCCCTAGGTGAGGAGCATCTTCCCACTGGCCCCCTGCCCTGCCATCTTGGTCTCCATGCCCTTAACTTTCCAGGTAGAGGACTTGAAGTCTCAGCTGGTGGCTCAGGATGACTCCCAGAGGCTGGTGGAGCAAGAGGTTCAGGAGAAGCTGAGAGAGACCCAGGAGTATAACCGAATTCAGAAGGAACTGGAGAGAGAGAAGGCCAGGTAGGCTAGATAGGCCATGGATGTGGCTATCTGGCTGCCATGGTCACTGTGATATTAAGAGTTGTTTGCTCAGGCCACCTTGCCTTTCATGTCTACAACTCTGGGATGTACATGTAGCCATGTGGAGAGGACATGGTTCCTGTCTTAAAAACTTGAATTTCATTTATTTAGTAAATATTTCAAGAACACCCATTTTGCACCAGGCACTGTGCCTGGGGATACAGTGATACCCTGCCCCAATAGAATGTATAGACATTAATCAAATAATAACTCAAATTTTTACAGATTATGACACATAGAGGAAACAGGGTGAGAGAGAAGAGACCTACTTTAGAACTGTTGTTAGGGAAGACTTTTCTCAGGAAATTGCGTTTAAACTGAGCACTCAGCATGAAGTGGAGCTACCCATGTAAGAGGATGAGGGGGAGTTCTTTTTTTTTTTTTTTTTTTTTTGAGACGGAGTCTCGCTCTGTCGCCCAGGCTGGAGTGCAATGGCCGGATCTCAGCTCACTGCAAGCTCCGCCTCCCGGGTTTACGCCATTCTCCTGCCTCGGCCTCCCGAGTAGCTGGGACTACAGGCACCCGCCACCTCACTCGGCTAGTTTTTTGTATTTTTTAGTAGAGACGGGGTTTCACCGTGTTAGCCAGGATGGTCTCAATCTCCTGACCTCGTGATCCCCCCGTCTCGGCCTTCCAAAGTGCTGGGATTACAGGCTTGAGCCACCGTGCCCGGCCATGGGGGAGTTCTATTCTGTAAGAGGAGAAATCATGTGCAAAGGCCATGAGGCAGATAAAAGTTTACAGTGTTTGGTGGAACTGAAAGAGTGGTCGGAGCCTGATTGGATTGTGATTGGAGCTTGGTGAATGAGGAGAGTGGCATGAGCTGGGCAGGTCCACAGCATTCAGGATTTGGTAGGTCACAGCAAGGAGTTTGTAGTTTGAGTTTCATAGGAAACCGCTGGAGAATTTTAAGCAGGGAAATTGATATAATCCAACTTATGTATTTGTAGGGATTATAATGACATGAGACATAAGGAGTGACAGAAGACCATTCAGAGTGAAGAGCAGCTTGTATTCTTAGTGCTGCAGGAATTTGAGAAGGGGATGGGCTGGATGCGGTGTCCCGCGACTGTAATCCCAGCCCTTTGGGAGGCTAAGGCGGGCAGATCACTTGAGGTCAGGAATTCAAGACCAGCCTGGCCAACATGTCTACTAAAAATACCAAAAAAATTAGCTGGGCATGGTGGTGGGTGCCTGTAATACCAGCTACTTGGAAGGCTGAGGCAGGAGAATTGCTTGAACCAGGAGGCGGAAGTTGCAGTGAGCTGAGATCATGCCACTGCACTCCCACCTCAGTGACAGAGCGAGACTCCATCTCAAAACAAAACAAAACAAAAACACAGTTTGAGAAGGGACAAATCATTTTGGTGATGAAACTAGAGGCAGGACGACAAGTTAGGCTGGTACAGTCGTCCTGATGAGAGATCCTAAAGCTAAACCAAGGTAGGGTAGTGGGGAAGAGGAGGAGAGAGGAGGAGAAGAGGTTTAAAGGATGTTAAGGGAGTTAGAAGCAATTGTATGTAATCATAGATTGCTATAAGTAGGTTGAAGGGAGAACTCTGGAGTGGTCAAGGTTCTATGTTGGGACACTGTGTGGATGGAAGTGCCATTCACTGAACTAGGGAACATAGTAGGAGATGATTGGGTGGGCAGGGGAGGAGAGGAGAGGGACGGGGAAGATTTGGACATGTTGAACGTGAGGTACTAATATAAGGTATATGTGAAATTTGCCAGAGAAGAATAACTGTAAGGTTGATAGCTGGGCGTGGTGGCACATGCCTGTAATCCCAGCTACTCGGGAGGCTGAGGCACAAGAATCACTTGAACCCAGGAGGCAGAGGCTGCAGTGAGCTGAGATCGTGCCACTGCACCCCAGCCTGGGTAACAGAGCAAGACTCTGTCTCAAAAACAACAACAACAACAACAACAACAACAAAAACCTGTGAGGTTGAAATGGGGCATCATCTGCAGGAAGTACCTAGGAGCACTTATAGTAAGTGCTCAGTAAATGATAGCTCTTATTGTTACATCATAATCATTATCATTACTATTTCTATTTTGATTATTAATGCTATCTTTAGAATACTCCGATAAGAAGGTAATTTTTCATTCCCTAAGAGAATGGCCCAGCACTCTGATCCCTCTCTTTTAGTCTGACTCTGTCACTGATGGAAAAGGAACAGAGACTCCTTGTTTTACAAGAAGCTGACTCTATTCAACAACAAGAGCTGAGCGCCCTGCGCCAGGACATGCAGGAGGCCCAGGGAGAACAGAAAGAGCTCAGTGCCCAGGTACTTCCCACTCTGGTTATGAGCCCTGCATCCCTGGCAGAAGCCTGATCCTGAAGCAGTGGATTGATTGCTCTGAGTCCTCTCATGGAGAGGACCCATCTATTTTTCCTGATTACAGGGTAGGCTGGTGCCTCAGTACCCCTACAGGAGGGGGAAGCCAGGACTAGAGAAGGCGGGGGCTTGGGAACCTGACCCAGAGATGGGCATGGCTCCTGTGGGAAACCTGACAGCCCAGAGCAAAGTGCACACAAGGATGGAGCCCACACAGGCCTGGTTCCAGCACAGCCACTTCCAGCTGTGCTGGGTCTGGTTGGCAAGATGTAGCAGGGAGAATGAGCAACCAGAAATACTCCAGATCAGGCAGGCAGCAGCAAGACTTCCAGGTACTCAGTCTGCCCACATCAGAACCCCAGATGTATACAGAGGAAAGATGGATCTAGGAGAGAAGGAAGAGCCAGATGGTGGATTGCAGGGGTTAAGGGCACACAGGTTTGGCTGTTCAACAGTCTTGAGTTTGAATGTAAGTTGTACCACTTTCTAATTGTGTGAACGTCAGCTTCTTCATGATAAAACGAGGGTGATAATTCTTGTTCCTAATTCCTATAACCATTATAGGAGTATATAAAATGTCAGGAACACAATAAGCATTCAGTACATGGTAGCTATTATTGTGACTGGTCTTACTAGGTGCAGCGTTGGGGTTTCATGGCAGAGTTCTGATCTTAGCAGGGAGCCAGCAAGCCAGAGAGCCAGAGCTGAAATCCATTAGCATAGCAGCTTGGGCCCAGGTGTTCAGTAGTCGGCAGGCAGCCAGGTGTTAGATCTAGGGTAACACTCATTTCAGAGCCCCTCTACCTACCTGAGAGCTGAGCTGAAATCCTCCCAGCCCTGATCAGAGTTTGTAAAAGGATTGAGTGGGGTCTGGCCTGGGAAGGCCTGAGGAGAGGATATCCACTTCCTGCTTATAGTATGTACAATTCCTCCTTGGCAGATGGAATTACTAAGACAAGAGGTGAAGGAAAAGGAGGCTGACTTTCTGGCCCAGGAAACACAGCTGCTGGAGGAGCTGGGGGCATCTCGTATCACGGAGCAGCAGCTGCGAGCTTCCTTGTGGGCCCAGGAAGCCAAGGCAGCCCAACTACAGCTGCGACTGCGCAGCACAGAGAGCCAGCTAGAAGCACTGGCCACAGAGCAGCAGCCCGGGAACCAGGCCCAGGCCCAGCTGGCCAGCCTCTACTCTGTCCTGCAGCAGGCCCTGGGGTCTGTTTGTGAGAGCAGGCCTGAGCTGAGTGGTGGGGGAGACTCTGCTCCTTCCCTCTGGGTCCTTGAGCCAGGTGAGACAGCCACTCCAGAACTAGGTCCTTTGGGCCAAAGCCAGGCCTGGCTCCCAGGGGAAGGGGAGAGGAATGCTATTTGTTAGGCCATATTGCTTCGGGGCTAAGATTACACACTTGAGAATTAATTCTGAGTTTAAGCCCCAGCTCTACTGTTTGCTAGCCATGTGTCCTTGGGCAAGTCACCTATCCTCTCTGAGCTTGATTTTCCTCAACTACAAAATGAGGATGTTAAAAGTACTTACCTTATAATTTCATCAAGGAGTTATGAGGTTGCAGATGTGAATCGCTTACACGGTTCCTGGCACTTATTAAGTGTGTAATAAGCAATAGCTGGCGTTATCTAGCACCCACCATAGCGCCTGGCCCATACTTATGGAGAAAATACGTGATGAGTGAACTGCTGAGAAGGGGTTCTTTGCGGAGAGGAGGGACCAATGGGAAGGCCAGGGCTATGTTTGGGGAGGTCTGGCTGTTTCTTTGCATAGTGGCAGCTAGGTGAGGAGGTTTTCCTCTGTTTTTCAGACCAGAATGGAGCTAGGAGCCTCTTTAAGAGAGGGCCCCTGCTGACTGCTCTCTCCACTGAGGCAGTAGCATCTGCCCTCCACAAGCTTCATCAAGACCTGTGGAAGACTCAACAGACCCGGGTATGTTTCTCTGCTCCCCTTTCCTGAACTCTACATCCCTCGAAAAGCATGAGGCAAAGATGTATGAAGCAGTTTGACCTGTTTTATTCCTGAGATCAAGTTGGGATGAGTTTCACCTCTCTCACTTACCACCCGGCAACTGCAAATGAAGCATTTGGAGTTCCTGGGCCTTGTTTTCCCTTGCAGAATAGGGCAGATAGTGCCTGCTCAGGATTTTGAGGATTAGATGAGTGAGGATCTTGAATGAGCCCTGTAAACCAAAAAACCCAGGCCAGGCACGGTGGCTCACGCCTGTAATCCCATGCTTTGGGAGGCTGAGACATGCGGATCACCTGAGGTCAGGAGTTCGAAATCAGCCTGGCGAACATGGTGAAACCCCATCTCTACTAAAAATACAAAAATTAGCCAGGGGTGGTGATGGGCGCCTGTAATCCCAGCTACTTTGGAGGCTGAGGAGGAGAATCACTTGAACCCAGGAGGTGGAGGTTGCAGTGAGCCAAGATTGTGCCAGTGCACTCCAGGCTGGGTAACAAAAGTGAAACTCCATCTTAGAAAAAAAAAAAAAAAAACCTGGGCAGATGTGTGGTGTGTGGTATTGTTTTGCATCGTTTTCCACTCAGCTGTGAATGTATTCTTGGTACCTAGACTTCCAAGAGAAACCCTAGAAATTGATGACCACTGAGATTTGAGGTTGGCATTTATAGGCACGTTCAAGGCCTAGGTCTGAAAGATCTCATAAATTCCACCTCACAGTGAACCTATCAATCAATACAAATTGAGTGCGCCATCCATATGTCAGCCACTCTGAGCTGGGGATACAGAAGGGAGAAAGACCTGTTCTCTTCCTAAAGAAGGCTTGTGACATGGTAGAGGAACCAAACTGCATTCTACTGGAAAGTAGAACTGAGAGAATTAATTGGATCAGTAACAGATGCAAGTGATGTACTGTTGGAACTAGGAGGAAGGGGCAATTCATCCTGATTTGGGAAGGGTCAGAAGGAAAGAAGAGATGACCTTTGGGCTAAGCTTTGAAGTAGGAGTGTTGAGAGAGAAGGGGTGACCCCTGGGCTAACTTTGAGCAGGAGCTCTGTTTCAAAAGAGATAGACAGGTCAGAATGGGATTCTCACTCCATCCAAGTGGAACAGAGCCTGTCATCACTTCAGGGAGCTAAATGCACATGTGTTCAGAGGAAGTAACCCAGCAATCTGGGAGTAGGTCCATAATGGCAGCCCACCACAGAGGCTGAGAATGAGGAGAGAGCTTGAGCCCTGCATTGCTTTGTGGAAGATGAGGAACTCATATTTAGCCATGCCCTTCCTTTCCCAGGATGTTCTGAGGGATCAGGTCCAGAAACTGGAAGAGCGTCTAACTGATACTGAGGCTGAGAAGAGCCAGGTCCACACAGAGTTGCAGGATCTGCAGAGACAGCTCTCCCAGAATCAGGAAGGTGAGAAGCTCAAGACAGACAGGGAGATTTAGAGGGAGGGGAAGGGATAGGTGGGGAGCCCAGAAGTGGCAGGCACAGGCCTAGCAGCTACTCTGTTTATTTTTATTTTATTTTATTTTTGAGATGGCATCTCACTCTGTCACCCAGGCTAGAGTGCAATGTCACTTCTACCTCTGCCTTCCAAGTAGCTAGGATTACAGGCACGTGCCACCAAGCCTGGCTAATTTTTTTGTATTTTTAGTAAAGACGGGGTTTCACCATGTTGACCAGGCTGGTCTTGAACTCCTGGCCTCAAGTGATCCGCCTGCCTCGACCTCCCAAGGTGCTGGGATTACAGGTGTGAGCCACCGCGCCCAGCTACACTCCATTATTTACCCAGAACTGTGAGATGATATCTAGAGGCACTTCCAAAGGAGTACTGACCCCCTTGAACTATTTTTTCTTCTACTTTGCTTGGCCTTTGAGGCCCATCCTGAAAGAAGAGATTAGGAGGAACAGATTTGGTGAACTGAAAGAAGGAAATGGCTGGGCTTCCATTTTCTGTCTCTAGATTTTTTTTTTTTTTTTTTTTTTTTTTGAGATAGAGTCTCGCTCTGTCACCCAGGCTGGAGTGCAGTGGTGTGATCTCAGCTCACTGCAACCTCCGCCTCCCAGGTTCAAGCAATTCTCCTGCCTCAGCCTCCAAATAGCTGGGATTACAGACATCTGCCACCACACCCAGCTAATTTATGTATTTTTAGTAGAGACAAGGTTTCATCATGTTGGTCAGGCTGGTCTTGAACTCCTGACCTCATGATCTGCCCACCTCGGCCTCCCAGGTGGGGTTACAGGCGTGAGCCACTGTGCTTGGCCCTGTCTCTGTAGATTTAAAAATAAAAAAAAAATTGGAGACTCAGGGCCAGGACTATAAGAACATTACAAAACTCTGCATCTTTTGTCATCCATGTTACTTATTTTTATCATCTTCAACTATGTCCTCCAAGTTAGCCTTTGGTCACTGAGGGATTATGAGCTTATTTGGGAGAAAGCAAGGAGAGGGGATCCGGGGAGGACATATCCATGTGCCAGCCAAGGACTGGAAAATGTCATGATTCCTTACAAAGGACAATAGAGGAAGGGTCTTGAAGCTCAAGTTTCTACTGTAAAAGAGAAGAGTTAGCCAGGCATGGTGGTGGGAGGCTGAGGCAGGAGAATCACTTGAACCCGGGAGGTGGAGGTTGCAGTGAGCCAAGATTGTGCCACTGCATTCCAGCCTGGGCGACAGAGCAAGACTCCATCTCAAAAAAAGAAAAAAAGAGAAGAGGACAACTTGGGTCTTGGCCTTTTTTGAGACCGTTTGAGGGTTCCCTGAGAGCCACAAAAATAGTGAGATTCCAACGCCTGCTGCAGAAATGGTGGGCAGCCAGCAGAGCCACCCAGGTCTCTAGGAGCTCCTGGACAATTATAGGATTGGGGGCTAGAAGGGACCTCCAGTGTCATCTGGCTCAACCCTGTCTGGAATTGAGGGCCAAGGCTCTCTGTGATGAGGATGAGGACGTATTGGGATGATTATCAGGCAATGCTGGGGCTAGCAGCAGCAGGGAGTACTGCCAGGCAAATAGAAGCAGCTGGCAGATGTTTGATGTCTCTAGGACACTGGATAGAATTCTCTCCTTGGCCTTCCTCCCCTTTGAATCTGTTCCCCATCCTCCATCTGCATCTATATCCCTCTTTTCCCCCACCCCAAACATGGGTCTTACTCCACTACCTCTCCTCTCCTCTTCTCAAAGAGAAATCCAAGTGGGAAGGAAAGCAGAACTCCCTAGAATCTGAGCTGATGGAACTACATGAAACTATGGCATCCTTACAGAGTCGCCTGCGGAGAGCAGAGCTACAGCGAATGGAAGCCCAGGTAAAATGTTACTGGTTTCAGGGAGGGGTTTGCCTCAGGAGTAGTCCCTTGGGCCCACCTTGGCCTGTGGTCATGTGTCCCACTTCCTTCAGCAAGTCTATCAGTTCCTCTGGCTGTTTCCATGTCCCTGGGGGCCATTATTAAGGTTCCAGTTAATCCTCCTTCAGTTGCTTTTTCTGAATTTGAGGTTGATATTTTTGCCTCTTGTCCTGAAGGACCAGAGTCTGCCCTGGGCATAGCAGAGTCCTGGGAGGTAGTAGGGATGCTCTTTTACAGTATCAGATTAACTGGAATATACTACCACTTTTTTGCCCAAGTCCTTGTCACTGCTAGTGCCACAAAATAAGAAAGAGAAGGGCCAATGTTGGGGTGACAGTAGCAGGGAAGTGTAGTTTAAAGTGGCTTTTCATCTTGTCTTCCAGGGTGAGCAAGAGTTACTTCAGGCAGCCAAGGAGAACCTGACAGCCCAGGTGGAACACCTGCAAGCAGCTGTCGCAGAAGCCAGGGCTCAGGCAAGTGCTGCTGGCGTCCTGGAAGAAGACCTGAGAACGGCTCGCTCAGCACTGAAGCTGAAAAATGAGGAGGTGGAGAGTGAGCGTGAGAGAGCCCAGGCTCTGCAAGAGCAGGGCGAGCTGAAGGTGGCCCAAGGAAAGGCTCTGCAAGAGAATTTGGCCCTCCTGACCCAGACCCTAGCTGAAAGAGAAGGGGAGGTGGAGACTCTGCAGGGACAAATCCAGGAACTGGAGAAGCAGCGGGAAATGCAGAAGGCTGCTTTGGAATTGCTGTCTCTAGACCTGAAGAAGAGGAACCAAGAGGTAGATCTGCAGCAAGAACAGATTCAGGAGCTAGAGAAGTGTAGGTCTGTTTTAGAGCATCTGCCTATGGCCGTCCAGGAGCGAGAGCAGAAGCTAACTGTGCAGAGGGAGCAGATCAGAGAGCTCGAGAAGGATCGGGAGACTCAGAGGAGTGTCTTGGAGCATCAGCTTCTAGAACTTGAGAAGAAAGACCAAATGATTGAGTCCCAGAGAGGACAGGTTCAGGATCTGAAAAAGCAGTTGGTTACTCTGGAATGCCTGGTCCTGGAACTGGAGGAAAACCATCACAAGATGGAATGCCAGCAAAAACTGATCAAGGAGCTGGAGGGCCAGAGGGAAACCCAGAGAGTGGCTTTGACCCACCTTACGCTGGACCTAGAAGAAAGGAGCCAAGAGCTGCAGGCACAAAGTAGCCAGATCCATGACCTGGAGAGCCACAGCACCCTTCTGGCAAGAGAGCTGCAGGAGAGGGACCAGGAGGTGAAGTCTCAGCGAGAACAGATCGAGGAGCTGCAGAGGCAGAAAGAGCATCTGACTCAGGATCTCGAGAGAAGAGACCAGGAGCTGATGCTGCAGAAGGAGAGGATTCAGGTTCTCGAGGATCAAAGGACCCGGCAGACCAAGATCCTGGAGGAGGACCTGGAACAGATCAAGCTGTCCTTGAGAGAGCGAGGCCGGGAGCTGGCCACTCAGAGGCAGCTGATGCAGGAACGGGCAGAGGAAGGGAAGGGCCCGAGTAAAGCACAACGCGGGAGCCTAGAGCACATGAAGCTGATCCTGCGTGATAAGGAGAAGGAGGTGGAATGTCAGCAGGACCATATCCATGAACTCCAGGAGCTCAAGGACCAGCTGGAGCAGCAGCTCCAGGGCCTGCACAGGAAGGTAGGTGAAACCAGCCTCCTCCTGTCCCAGCGAGAGCAGGAGATAGTGGTCCTGCAGCAGCAATTGCAGGAAGCCAGGGAACAAGGGGAGCTGAAGGAGCAGTCACTTCAGAATCAACTGGATGAGGCCCAGAGAGCCCTAACCCAGAGGGACCAGGAACTGGAGGCTCTGCAGCAAGAACAGCAGCAGGCCCAGGGACAGGAGGAGAGTGTGAAGGAAAAGGCAAACGCCCTCCAGGGAGCTCTGGAGCATGCCCATATGACACTGAAGGAGCGTCAGGGAGAGCTTCAGGACCACAAGGAACAGGCACGAAGGCTCGAGGAAGAGCTGGTAGTGGAGGGACGGCGGGTCCAGGCCCTGGAGGAGGTGTTGGGAGACCTCAGGACTGAGTCTCGGGAGCAGGAGAAAGCTCTGTTGGCCCTCCAGCAGCAGTGTGCTGAGCAGGCACAGGAGCACGAGGTGGAGACCAGGGCTCTGCAGGACAGCTGGCTACAGGTCCAGGCGGTGCTCAAGGAACGGGACCAGGAGCTGGAAGCTCTGCGGGCAGAAAGTCAGTCCTCCCGGCATCAGGAGGAGGCTGCCCTGGCCCGGGTTGAGGCTCTGCAGGAGGCCCTTGGCAAGGCTCATGCTGCCCTGCAGAGGAAAGAGCAGCATCTACTTGAGCAGGCAGAATTGAGCCGCAGTCTAGAGGCCAGCACTGCCACCCTGCAAGCCGCCCTGGATGCCTGCCAGGCACACACTCAGCAGCTGGAAGAGGCCCTGAGGACGCGAGAAGGTGAGATCCAGGACCAGGATCTCCGATACCAGGAGGATGTGCAGCAGCTGCAGCAGGCACTTGCCCAGAGGGATGAAGAACTGAGACATCAGCAGGAACAGGGGCAGCTGCTAGAGAAGTCTCTGGCCCAGAGGGTCCAAGAGAATATGATCCAAGAGAAGCAGAATCTAGGGCAGGAGAGAGAAGAGGAGGAGATAAGGGGCCTTCGTCAGAGTCTAAGGGAGCTACAGCTGACTCTAGCCCAAAAGGAACAGGAGATCCTGGAGCTGAGGGAGACCCAGCAAAGAAACAACCCGGAAGCCTTACCCCACAGCCACAGAGCCTCCCCAGTGGAGGAACAGTCTCCAAAACTTGATTCTTTAGAGCCCAGGCTGCAGCGGGAGCTGGAGCGGCTACAGGCAGCCCTGAGACAGACAGAAGCCAGGGAGATTGAGTGGAGGGAGAAGGCCCAGGACTTGGCACTGTCCCTAGCGCAGACCAAGGCCAGTGTCAGCAGTCTGCAGGAGGTAGCCATGTTCCTACAAGCCTCTGTCCTGGAGCGGGACTCAGAACAGCAAAGGCTGCAGGTGAGTCACTCCACGGGGAATAAGGGCCAGGGGACACACCCCTGCCTGGCTGAGCTCAGGGACTGCCCACCACCCTGGGCCCTGTGGCACCCCAGGGGTATGAGAAATCTGAGATCATGAGCACCTCAGCGTCGGTAGGATTCAGGCTACTGTGCTAGTCAGGGAAGATACAAAGAGGATAAGACCCCACAGTCTGCCGTCACAGAGTTCGCAGTCTAGTGGGTAAACAGTGATAATGCAGTGTGGTTGGTGCCTCACAGAAGTTTAGTATGCCCCAGGCATGCTGGAGGGATACCCACCCTTTCCTGGGAGTGGGTCCTGAAAGCCTTTCTGGTAATAATGGTATTTAAGATTAGACCTGGGCCAGGCATGGTGGCTCACGCCTGTAATCCCAGCACTTTGGGAGGCCAAGATGGGCAGATCACTTGAGGTCAGGAGTCCGAGACCAGTCTGGCCAACATGGTGAAACCCCGTCTCTACTGAAAATACAAAAATTAGCCAGGCATGCTGGCACGTGCCTGTAATCCCAGCTACCTGGGAGGCTGAGGCAGGAGAATTGCTTGAACTCAGGAGGTGGAGGTTGCAGTGAGCTGAGATCGTGCCATTGCACTCCAGCCTGGGCAAAGAAGCGAGATTCCTTCTCAAAAAAAAAAAAAAAAAAGTAGACCTGAAGGGACCAGTAAGGATCTAGCCAAGCACAGGTTGGGGAGGAGCATTCGGGGGAAGAGGAAAAGAGGGCGAGAACAAATGTATCTGTGTAGATGGTTCAGGTTGCATGGGACAGGGAGGATTTGGTAAGAGACCGGAAGACAGCAGGGGCCACACCTGTCAGGGCTTGCAAGTCATGCGGAGGACCTGGGTGGTGGGAAGCAGATGAAGTGTTTGCGGCAGGGGAGTGATGTGATCAGACATACAGCTCAGAAAGATTGCTCAGGCTGCCGTGTGGAGCAACAGCAGGTCTGGGGAGACCCACTGGGAGGCTGTACTGGGAAGTCCGGAGGAGAGCTTGTGCCCTAAGATGGAAAGTGTGAATGGAGACATGGGGGTGGGTCTGAGAGGTAGGACTTGATTGGCTAAGAGGTGGGAGGAATAAAGAGAGGGCAGAAAGAAGTCAAAGATCACACACAGGTCCCTGTTCACCAAGATGAAGAGAAGCAGATGTGAGAAAGAGGAGTGGAATGATGCGGTCAGTTTGGAAATGGAGGGAGGAGCCTGTGGGCAGGTTAGTAAAATGATCTGAAGTTGAAGGATGGAGTTGAAGCCAGAGACACTTTGGCCTCAGTTAGAACAAATGGGTTTCATGTAGGTAGAATGTTGAGTGAGAGGAAGTGGGCTTAGGAGAGGACTTCAGGGTGTAATATTTAACCTCAAGGTCAAGCACCGTGTCTTAGTCACCTTTGTACCCCCTGTACTGAGGACAAGACCTGCAGAGAACAGGCAAAAAGGAAAGCCAGGTTGGCTTGACAGAGAGAGGCATCATCTCCTGTGCTAAGAGATGCCCAGTCCAGTTTTCCAGGGAAATAGACTCTACATCCTAGTCCCTTGACTGAGCCCCAGAGAACCCCAGACACACAGTCTCCTAGAGAGTTCTTTCTGGAAACTCACAAAGCTCTGCTCTTGGTGAAGAGCAATATGAGGAGAAGGAGGTCCATCTGTGAACTTTGGAGTCCAGTTCCAGGGTTTGAAATACAGTAGTGCAGCTTATCAGCTGTGTGACCCTGGGTGAATGCCTTCACTCTGATCTTTGATTTCTCATTGGTAAAATAGGCATTGGTGGTATGACATGGGATGATATGTATGAATTGCTTAGGAAGAAAGCACTAAGTGGAACTCCTTTCCTATGTTCAGGCCCATTCTTACAGGCACAGCAAAAGTAAGGTATGTAATTGGGCAGGAGGGCACTTCCCACCCATACTCTTGGGTTACTGAGCAGTATTCACTCAGCAACATAACTCGGGTCAGAGTCACTTCACCCACTGCCCCCTCCAAACAGACAGGGATGCCTGTCAGATGCAGCCCTCCATTGTCATGGGACCATTTTTTTTTTAAGCATTTTACATGCCAGGCACTGTTACTCAGTTTCTTCCACAACTACCCTGAAAAATAGGAACTCTTACTGTCCTCGTTTTATAGTTGAGGAATGGCATTTCAGAGAGGTTAAGTCTTCTTTGGACTGGTCCAAAGTCATGGCCGGGCACAGTGGCTCACGCCTGTAATCTCAACACTCTGGGAGGCTGAGGCAGATGGATAACTTGAGCCCAAGAGTTTGAGACTAGCCTGGGCAACATGGCAAAACCCTGTCTCTACTAAAAATACAAAAATTAGCTGGGTGTGTGGTGCGTGCCTGTAATCCCAGCTGCTCAGGAGGCTGAGGCAGGAGAATCGCTTGAACCTGGGAGGAGGAGGTTGCAGTGAGCTGAGATCACGCCACTGTACGCCAGCCTGGGCGACAGAGTGAGACTCTGTCTCAAAAAAAACAAACTCATAAATGGCAGGACTGGAATGAGATCTGAGTCATCTGCCTCTAGAGCCCAGACTTTCTATCACCAAGCTCTTCCTCTCTCCCAGGCAATCCACATCCACATGCATACACTTGTTTTCTCTTGTTCATCTCTTCTTGACCATTATCATTTATGAACCACAGGGCGCCTAGAAAGTATCTAGCATGAGGCTTCCCCACTTACCCAAAGGGACTTAACTCAAGGGCTTGATCCATGTGCACATAGTCATTTTATACATGAGGAAATTGGGGTTTGGGGAGAGCTTGTGCTTTGACCAGAGTCATAGAGCCACTGAGTGGTGACATGGCACCCAGCCCTGTGTGACTCCAGAGTCCATGCTCTTCCCACAGCACATCAGTGCCCTGAGTCATTGCTCAGCCTTCTAGGAAATGTGAAGTGAGCTGGGGACTCTGGTCCTAGCTTCCTTGCTAGCTCACTGCATATCCTTGAGTAGAGGCCCCTCTGCTCCTTTGTTTTACCCATCTGTAAAATGAAGGTTCTGAACTAGAATGACTCAGAGCCTCTAGGAAAAATAAGACAAAAGCCTGAGGAGAACATTGAACTGCTGTTTCTGTGGAGGGTGGGTTGGTCCAGATATGAGGTTGAATATAATTTTGCTCCATATCTCGGTACCCTAGGATGAACTGGAGCTCACCAGACGGGCTCTGGAGGAGCGGCTACACAGCCCAGGTGCGACCAGCACAGCAGAACAGGGGTCCAGAGGGGAGCAGGGCATGCATCTGGGAGAGGTGAGCTGGGGGCTCTGGGGGAATAGGTGGCCCAGCAGGGAGCTCCTGTCCAGGGGTTTGTCCCCTTCCCTTGGGAACTGGGTTCCTGAAGCTTAGACCTGCCAGATTGGTCTGTGTGTCCTCTGTCTGTTCCCCACCTGTCTTAGGGGCTGCTCAGGTGAGAATCACAGGTCTTTCCCACAGGTCTCAGGAGTAGAGGCTGAGCCTAGTCCTGCTGGAATGGAGGAGAAGCAGTCATGGAGACAAAGGCTTGAACACCTACAGCAAGTGGTGGCCCGGCTGGAGATTGACAGGAGCAGGCTGCAGCGCCACAATGTCCAGCTGCGGAGCACCTTAGAGCAGGTGACTCCTCTTCTGGTCCAGTGGGCATGCATCTCCACTTCTTGTGTGGCCCCCAGAGCATAGACTCAGTAAACTACAGCCCAAGAGTTTGGGCGAAATTTAGCCTGCTGCTTGTTTCTGAAAATTAAGTTTGCTTTTTTTTTCCCCGAGATGGAGTCTTGCTCTGTCTCCTACAGCTGGAGTGGAATGGTGCGATCTCCACTCGCTGCAGCCTCCACCTCCCAGGTTCAAGCAATCCTCCTGCCTCAGCCTCCTGAGTAGCTGGGATTACAGGCACGCACCACCATGCCTGGCAAATGTTTGTCTTTTTAGTAGAGACAGGACTTCACCATGTTGGCCAGGCTGGTCTTGAACTCCTGACCTCGTGATCCACCTGCCTTAGCTTTCCAAAGTGCTGGGATTACAGGCGTGAGCCACCACGTCCAGCCTTGAAAATTAAGTTTATTGGAATACAGCCATGCATTGTCTATGGCTGCTTCCCTGCTCTGCCCCACAAAGCCTACAGTACTTACTGCAGGAGAAGTTTGCTGGTCTTTGCTCCAGGGGCCTGAGAGGCTGGCCCTGCCTCTTCTGCTTCAGGAGCACTTCTTTGCACTGAGGCCTGCCCTAGCTGTGCCTTCCTCAGCCAGGAATTCTCTTCCCATGGTTACTGTCCCCTCATACACCTGCACAGGCACTGGCCACTTCTGGAGAAAGGCAGCTCTGCTCCAGCCACAGAGCCAAGCCAAGCCCTGATTTCTTATTTGCACCTTGGCAGGTGGAGCGAGAACGGAGAAAGCTGAAGAGGGAGGCCATGCGTGCAGCCCAGGCAGGGTCCCTGGAGATCAGCAAGGCCATGACTTCTTCACCCACACAGCAGGTTTACCCGTTTTCCTCAACTGCAGCCTTAGAGAGCCCAGCCCCAGCCACCAGAAACTCAGCCCTCCTCATTGCATATCCCAGGCCAACAGCACTTCAGCTAATCCAGAGGTCCCCTCCTGACTGCGTTCTGCCCTGCTTGGCACAGCTCAGTCCGTCCCTGCCCTGAGAAGGAGGCCTAGCATTGGGGTGGGGGTTGGGGTGGCATCAGGGCTAGTGGCCCTGCCTTCTGAGGGACTTAGATTTGTGCACTCCCAGACCAGTGCCACAGGCTGGCCCAGGAGTGGGGCTCATGGGGCTCTGCTCAGGATCCCTGGTGTATGGGGGTTGTGTGGTACTTGCCAGCTCCTGAGGAGCCTAGGAGCTTGATCACAGCTTGATCTCTTAGACCTTTCTACAGTGTTGAGTTTACAGGCTTAGGGTCCATGGTCTTTCCTGGAGCCAGTGTCCCTTTTTTGGGTAAGAGACTTGGGGAAGACTCCCCAAACCTGCACTCGTTTAGGTGAGGTATCCCTGCCAACAGACACAGGCTTGCAGCCTGGCAGGGAGGCACTGTTTATGGTGACTGAGCACTAGCTCTCCATCCCCTGTCCTTTAATGAAAGTTCTCAAGGGCAGGCACCGTGTCCTCCTCTCTACATCCTTAGCTCACAGCCCAGGGCTAGCACAAAGCAGATACGTGGTGTACTTCTGTTAAATTAAAACATGCCTCAGAGAAGCAAATGCCATCCAGGCCTTTTGGATGTTTTGCATCAGGTCTCCATGGTGCTGCCCATTTTGCTGGTGTGCGGCCTCTCCTTGCCCCAGGGCCTGCTGCCCCATAGAAGTCCAGTCTGAGTTCAGATGCTTCTGGCCCATAGCCCTTGCCCAGGCCCCTAAGCTTGTGATGAGGTTCTGCAAGGCAATTTGCAGAAACCCCAGAGTGGGAAGGCCTATTCCAACAAGAGTGCCATTTGTCTTCCTTAGGATGGGAGAGGAGGACAGAAGAACTCAGATGCCAAGTATGTGGCTGCACTGCAGAAAGAGGTATGTTCTGGATTTTCTAAGCCCATATTCCCTCCCTTGCACTCAGGCCCTTTGTGCTCCTCCAGCAGGGAGAGGGGAAGTTCCTGCCTTCAGAGAACTTCAGTCTCCACAGGAGGCAAGAATAGTCCCAGTCCCAACCCCATCTCTCATACGCCTAGGGTGGGAGTGGGGAAAAAAGCATGATTCTGGCCCCCGACTTCCAGATCCATACTTAGAAAGGATCTGTGTATCTAAGGAAGAGGGCTGAGGAACAGGCAGAAGATTCTAGGAGGACAGGTGGGAGCAAGCGGAGTCATCCTGGCCTCCCTGCCCTCAGAGGTGCCCTCGCAGCCAGGACTGTTGCCAGTGCCCCAGGCAGAGGAGCCAGACACCAACACAGGCTCCAGGCCACACAGCTCAGCTCGAGCCCCAACTCGGCAGAGAAGCGACTTGAAGAGCCTTCCTGCCTCTTAGGCCTCACCTGAAAGTCCACTCTCCCTTTCAAGGCCCAGGAGTCATAAGTGTTACCTTTTTATTTCTGAGCCTATTTCAGAAATTAGTAGTCACTACTGCCAGGGCCTGACTCTGTAGCTAGACCTAAGCTATTACTCTGAATTCTATTAAACTCAGATTCTTTTTCTATTTTATTAAAAAGTCAAAGGCAGGTGCGGTAGCTCACACCTGAAATCCCAGCACTTTCGGAGGCCAAGGCAGGCAGATCACCTGAGGTCAGGAGTTTGAAACCAGCCTGGCCAACATGGCGAAATGCTGTCTGTACTAAAAATACAAAAATTAGCTGGGCCTGGTGGTGTGCACCTGTAATCCTAGCTACTCAGGAGGCTGATACACAAGAATCACTTGAACCTAGCAGGGTGGAGGTTGCAGTAAGCCGAGACTGCATCACTGCAGTCTAGCCTGGGCAACAGAGGGAGATTCCATCTGAAAAAAAAAAAGTCAGATAGTGGTTATACATGAGTATATATTGTTATCAGCCTCATCAAAATGTACATTTTAAATCTGGGCATTTTTCACATGTAAATTATCTTTCAGTGAAGTTGATGAATAGCTTTGTTGTTTTCAAGCTCCCTATTTGAGTCACATGTGCAGCCAGGATTGAGAATCACTGGATTCTAGAATTCTTAAGGGCCCTTCCCCTAAACTCTCTAAAGCCTGTTTCTGAGATTCGTGTATGTGGTAGAGTTGATTCAGATGCTCCTTTGTTGTTTTCAAGCTCCCTATTTGAGTCACATGTGCAGCCAGGCTTGAGAATCACTGGATTCTAGAATTCTTAAGGGCCCTTCCCCTAAACTCTCTAAAGCCTGTTTCTGAGATTCGTGTATGTGGTAGAGTTGATTCAGATGCTCAGCCAACGAGCGTCACAGGAACACAGAGCAGGAAGAGCTGGGACTTCAGGGCCCTCAACTGCTCTCCCTCTTTTTTATCCTGTCCACCAGGTGGCCCTGCTACGAGCTCAACTGACTTTGGAGCGGAAGCAGAAGCAGGACTACATCGCCCGCTCAGTACAGACCAGCCGTGAGCTAGCGGGCCTGCACCACAGCCTCTCACACTCACTTCTCGCTGTGGCCCAGGCCCCTGAGGCCACTGTCCTGGAGGCAGAGACCCGCAGGCTGGATGAGTCCCTGACTCAAAGTCTGACATCCCCAGGGCCAGTCCTGCTACACCCCAGCCCCAGCACTACCCAAGGCACTTCCAGGTAGTAGCCGCAGCCAGGAGCACACAGACAGAAGACTGTACTGTGGGTCACGGCCCCTCTACACGCCTACAGGCTTGCCAAAGGAAAAGCCTGGCTCTGTTAGGCACCCAGGCGCCCCAGGTCAGCGGGTATTCCCAGGAAGAGGAAGTAAATCTGCAACACTTGGGAGGGCCCCAACTCACCTGGGAATGAGGCAGATTGCATTTGCTTGCTCCCTAATGGAATCACCCAGAGGAGTGCCTTGCCCTGGCTGAGGGACATCTACTGCCTCTCATCTAGAATTTATTTTCCTAGCACTTCACCACCTCCTTCAACTTCCCCTTCAACAATAAACCCGGGGATCTTTCCATTAGTTTTCTGCTGCTGTCTCCACTTGTGCAGCTGGGCGGCAGCACCTCATCAAGGGAGTTTATCAGGGAAGAACTTGCCAAAGATTCCTGTCGAGGTAGCATGCATTTATTGTACACCATGCACTGTGATAGGGAAGGGTTACAGAAAACACACAAGACAAAGCCCCTGTCCACAGAGAGCCTGCAGTCCAGTTGATGAGAACAGGCTAACACTCATTTATGAGTCGGAGGCAATTCTGTGTACTGACTAGAAGAACTGTAGAAATTCCAGGGGCTGAGGAAGGGAGGCAGGAACTGGCCCTTGAAGGATGGAGTGGAGTCGGAGGTGTTGCCAAGCACACAGTGAGAAGACTGGTCTGACTGTGGCAGGGGGTTGGGGCTCAGCTTGGGTGGGTTGATGGGGGAGATTATGGAGGGTTAAAAGAAGTTCTGGGGCCTCAAAAACACAGCGTTGACCTTTAGCTAAAGTCAGAGTCTCTGAGTTCAGAACCTCCTCATGGCCTCATTCCTCTTCTACTCTGGGTGAATGTCCTTGAGATGTCCCTTCCTGGGCATATCAGCTGGAACTGATCTGGCCCCCTGTAGTCTAGCCATGTGTCAAGCCATTCAGAAGGATGGACTATGGCAGAACTTCTCACCATGGGCTGGTCCTAGTAGAGGCTGGACAGAACCCAGCTCAGAGGCTTAAGACCTATTGCTGGCAACCTCCTCAAAGCCTCAAAATTGTTTTTTTTTTGGTTTTTTTTTGGTTTTTTTTTTTTGAGACGGAGTCTTGCTTTGTCACCCAGGCTGGAGTGCAGTGGCGCAATCTCGGCTCACTGCAAGCTCCGCCTCCCGGGTTCACGCCATTCTCCTGCCTCAGCCTCCCGAGTAGCCGGGACTACAGGAGCCCGCCACTGCGCCCGGCTAATTTTTTTCTATTTTTTAGTAGAGACGGGGTTTCACCATGGTCTCGATCTCCTGACCTTGTGATCCGCCCGCCTCGGCCTCCCAAAGTGCTGGGATTACAGGTGTGAGCCACCGCGCCCGGCCAGTTTTATTTTTTTAAGAGACAGGGTTTGTCCTGTCTTCCAAGCTGGAGTACAGTGGCACAATCACATCTTACTGCAGCCTGAAACTCCTGGGCTCAAGTGATCCTCCCACCTCAGCCTCTCAAAGTGCTGAGATTATAGGTATGAGCCACCATGCCCAACCAGAACAGTTTTTAAAGAAGCAGGCCATTTCCTCTGGCACTCCCACCATAATCTGGAATTCCTCTTCACTAAGCCTGGGGATGGAACTGAGACCTAGCTAAGAATCTGGGGGGTTAAGAACAGCACCCACTCACCCACACCTCCTAATTTGGGGCTCAGCCCCATTATGTCTCGTTGCACCACACAGAGTAGAAATGGGCCTGTTCACAGGGGCTGGAGTTTTGTTCCAGAAACCCACAGGTGCAGCTCAGCAACAGATGCTTAGTGAAAACTTCCGAAACCCCAGAAACGGATCTGGGACCCCAGAAATGCTGTCCTGGTCCCTCCTTGCAGTCAGATTCCCTGTAACTCAAAATCCTTACCTAGCCTTTAGGCCATTTCTTTCTTTTCTTTTTTTTTTTTTTTTTTTTTTTTTGAGACAGAGTTTTGCTCTTATTGCCTAGGCTGGAGTGCACTGATGTAATCTCGGCTCACTGGTGGTAACCTCCACCTCCTGGGTTCAAACGATTCTCCTGCCTCAGCCTCCTGGGTAGCTGGGATTACAGATGTGCCACCATGCCTGGCTAATTTTGTATATTTAGTAGAGACAGGATTTCTCCATGTTGGTCAGACTGGTCTTGAACTCCCGACCTCAGATGATCCACCCACCTCGGCCTCCCAGAGTGTTGAGATTACAGGCATGAGCCACTGCGCCCGGCCCCTTTAGGCCATTTCTATGCTAGGGGTTGTCAGAGACAAGACTTCTCTTGGTTGTTCACTTGTTACGTCCTCCAGCCCCGGTTCTCAGGCTCGGGCTGACACAGGGTCCCTGTGTTTTACCTTCGAGTTTCTTACCAGCATCATTTTCTGTAGGTCACGAGCCAGGGCCTCAGGCCCTACATACCTTCTGGGCCTCAGAGGTTCCAGCAGCTGAAAGACATCTTAGAGGCTGCCAAGCAGGGTCTTTATTCAGGACTAGACTAATCTGTATTTGCTCTTTTTCCATCCAACCTTCAAGAGCCCCCCAGCTCCATTATAGACCTCGGCCTAGGGTCTTCCCCCCCACCAGATATTCAGAGCAGGGTTGGCCTTCAGTTCAAGTGTAGACCGTGCTCTTGCCCTCATACTCGAGCTTGTGGACGTTCTTCCACTCCAGCTTCCTAAAGTACACTTTCCTTGCCCAGTAGCAGGATTGCCTCTGTGGAGTGTTCCATCAATAATGGTGACAACTGCTGTTTTCATCAGCTCCAGACCCAAAGAGACCTGAAGTGGGGAAGAGTGAAGGAAGGAATATGTGTTATCTGGGGAGACCCAACTTCGCCTAAGGGCATGAGGCCAGAGCCTCCTTTCCTGACCTTGTCACATGTGGCAGGGCATAACCAGAATGGTGAATCCAGCAGATGGGAGGATTCCCTGGTAGTCCAGCCAGTTCTTGTGGATGTACTTGAGGAAGGTGTGATTGGTCACCAGAACATGCAGGGAGTAGAGGTTAGAGCTCAGCCACAGAGGTTATCTTCTTGCAGAAAACTTTCCCCCTTCCTAATCTTCTTGTCTGCTTTGATAGAAGCTAGTACTGGCTGGAAAGGCCTGAAAGCAGAAGGGGACAAGAGTCATCAGAGACTGGGCAATGTTCTTGTTCCCAGGGAGTGCTGGGATCTGGTGGGTGCTGCCCCTGTTCTCTCAAGAATCCCGCATGCTTTGTGTGTTAGAGCAGTGACCATCACCTCCCAACCCAATGAACTTTGCTCCTCTGCTTTCCACATGGGACTGCCAGCACCCTGAAGGCAGAAAAACTGCCTGGCATGAATGTACCCATTAAAGAAGGAGAAGCTAGTGGTGTATGTTGGGATAAGGAGGGTGAGGAGTGTACAGTTACAGGCTGCACAGGGAGGGCAAGATCAATGTTGCTACCAAAGTGCCAAAGGCTGTCTGCGCCAGGTCTGGGGCCCCCACTTGTCATACCGCCAGATAAAACCATTGCAGTCCACACTAGGTCTGGAAGCTTAGACACCCACAGCATGTGGGTGTTCTCATGCAGGCCATGAGTATTTGGGGTGCTTTAAATGCAGGGGGGTTCTGTTGTCCACATTATTCTCAAAGCCCAGAATAGTCCCTGTTTCATTCTACAGAGATAGGAAGGCACTGGGGCTCACAGAGTAGTGCTGCTTCCCACCCTCGCCCTCCTGCCCCTACCTGAGCGCAGTGTGGTGCTCAGTGATGGTTATCCTATGTTCCAAATATGCATGACCCAGGACTGGCACAGTCGGAGCTCGGGGTCTAGCTATGATGTGGGGATCGATTGGAGTAGCTTCTTGACCAGCTGGAATTGGGTTAGGTGTCCTAGCATTGGTGCCTATGGAGAAGAACACAGACTGCTTATCACTCACCCCTGGTTCCAGTACCAAGGAAAGGCTGGAGCCATTGCAGCTAGAGGCCCAACAGAGGAAGGGATCAAGGAGAGGATGCAGCCCAGAGCCCAGGACCGAGCATCCACCGGCCTCTGGAGATGGCGTGGTCTCCAGTCGCATCAGGGCTTCAGGGCCCATCTGAAGTGCGGATCAAACCAGGCAGACACCCTTCTGGTGAAGGCAGGCTTTGCAGATGCGGGGCTGAATTGAGCAGCCACAGGACCTCTGCGGCTCTGGGGCCAGTGGCAGAACTTCTAGAAGTACCTATGGGGTAGGAAACCCCAGCCACAAAAGCAGTGAGGTGACCTCCAGGCCTGAGGCTTTGCCTGCAGGCCTCATCTCAGTCCATGGGACAGATCCCTGGTTTTTTTAGTTTGGCCTTGGGGCAGATGACACCTTCAGCTGTCCAGCCTGCAATACCTCACCTCCTGCCTTCTGCCCCACTACCCTGCAGAGCAGAGGAATGGGGCCAGGGGCCAGGGGCAGGGAGGAGGAAGAAGCAAGAGCTGCCAGTGTGCTCCAAACCAAGAGACCCCTCCACATGATTCTGGGCACAGCTGAGGAGGGGTGCAAGTTCAACTCCGCTCACCACACTTAAGAAACAGGTAAGGGAGGAGGAAAGGCAAAAACATGGGGTCCTGAAGCCCTTTTACTCCCTCTACCCTGTTGGAGGTGAGGATGAGAGGTGAGACTTCGTTGGACTGTGCTCCTGGCCAGTTGATCTCACCCAACTCATTACATCAGTAGCCTGGTCACAGGGTGGACACTCTGACCTCTTAGCCTTTCATTGCCAATGCTACTGGCCCTATATATGCCCTTATGGGGCCTGAACCTTGACTCAGCTAGGCGGGCTTGGAGGTAAAATATTGAATGGGTCAGGGGTAGGAGGAGAGATGAGTCTGCCAAGGCTGTGTGATGTGTCATTTGAGAGAGTGGGTATCCCCTATTCCCAGCACATGGGCCATTTATTTAGAGCCAGGGAGGGGGACGAGAATTCGTTTCAAATGTGATTCTTCCTTAATTACTACTAGTTGTTCAGGTGAGGGAATCAGGGACGGCTGTTACGCAGTGCCAGATTAATAATCCACACATTGCCCCTGCACCTCCTGTCCTGGTTTCCTATCCAAGCCTCTCCTGTATCTGTGAACATTCCAGCCCCGCAGGTCAGATTGCTGGCCAGGAGTAGTCTCACATTCTAGCTGACTGATAGCCTCAGCTTCTGCTGTTGCATGTGGTTTGATGATTCATGCTGGAGCCTTTGGCTATAACTCTCTTCCCTGTATAAGGGCCATTTCTGAAATTTGTCTGCCCAACTCCATTACCTGGTGAATGAGATTGGCTGGCTGCTGCTCCTGCCCCAGCTATTCAGTCATTTGGCAAATACTCATTTAAACAAAGCTCAAGAAGGAGCTCACCTCTAGG